TTTGAGCATAAAGGAAAGTACAATACAGAGTACCTCAAATACTTGCCATTGCCAGTAGTTGTCCTTTGCAAAGCAGGCCAGGACATTGCTTATCTACATTTAAAACCCATATCCTAGTAGGAGCAAGGAAGTCCATGAAGAAAAGGGATTTCCATTTCACATTACATCATTAGTATATTTTATTTTAAGATGTCTATCAAGAAGCACGAGGACCAGAATCTTCAGGGGGAATTTATAATTTTAGAATAACCTGCCCATGAAAAAGGTTATATTTCTTATTTCTCACTCTCCTCTGTGCTGCAGTCATGAATGATGCTAGGATTCATAGAGACATTAATTATCTGGTTCTGAGTCACACATACCTCTTGGTAAGTGTGTACCCATAGGCAATATATTCCCTTGATTAATTATTTGACCAGAGTGAAAAGTAACTCTATATAAAGATGTAGCAGAGGTGCTGACCATGAGCATATTTTATCTAGGGCTGGACTGGGAATTTAGGGAGGAGCAGGCCTTGTGATAGTCACCTTCAAGAGGAAGGTGTCACCCTATGCATGAGCATCACTTCCTTTTCTATTTGCTGCACTGTGTTTTTTTGCATAAGTGACCCCTTCCCTTTTGACTTAACCTGTTGGAACTGCTCTCTATGTACATAGGGGAGCTTACATTAAGCTTAAGCAAGAAGAATGTGCAGGTGGCAGAGATGTGCAAGCCACATCCCTGATAAAGATTACATTAACCAGCTGTGTCAGTCTGCTAAATGCTGCCTTGCAGCTCAGCACCATCCACTGCCTACACCTAACTATATGTTTCAGAGTGTTTGGTTTTAGTCATCTTTTGACATGAGCTCTACTGAATGTAATTAAATTTGGAGAAATCAGGGATAATTAACAGGACCATACTAGTTAACAGGAATAGGATATGGACCTGAGCAATATCCTCTGTTTGTCCATGCTATTATCACATACAGCCCTTTACACGGTATTGTTCATGACAATTATCTGTCTCTGAAAAAAGACTTAGGCATGGACAGATCTCCCTGTTACAAGTTCTGGACTTCTTTCAGTAGGAGTGTGGATGAGGCCACACAGTTGTTTTTGAAGAGCAGCTTTAGTGATACAAGTAGAGAACATGCTGTGCTCTTTGTCCTCAGGCCAGATAATGGGCTTTGGTACATTTCATTCAACAGCTTAAATGTAGCTACTTTACCCTATCTTGAAAGTAAAAAACCTGAACATTATTTGCTAGGCTGTCTTCAAGTCTTTTGAACATATCAGTTATAGAATCTTAACACCACAGTTAAGCTATCCTACTTGGAAAGTCTGAAGTATTACAGGACTCTCTTCTGGAGGACTGAGTGTATAAAAAAATATATTCAGTAAAGTAGTCTTCCCTTTTTGGGAGGAGTCACAGAACCATATTTGTCCAAAAATTTTCTTTTGAGTCACTGTTCATTCCCAACTCTGTTGTGAATCTATATAAAAGCTTGATGGAGCTAGGCTACACTATGCTATTTTCATTTAGCTATCTTATAAACAAAGATGAGGATGTAGCACAATATTTTGCAGTAGGTTTTGTACTGAAAAATGGAAAACCAACAAAAATTGACAAGAAAATCATGTAGAGAAAAATGCATTTTACTAGCAATCAAGGGACATAGAATTTTTAGAAACATGAATAAAGATGAAGCTGAGAATACTGAACACAATCATCTTGTTCAGAAAACTAAGAGAGTGGGGAAGTATGGTAATGTATTGCTACTATAGGGTGCTATAAGCATTTGACTTTAATGACACTGAATAAACCATTCAAAACTAAATTATGGCACTTGTGAAATACTTCTGTTCAGTTTCCTGCTAGTGCTACTCTATTTTAAAAGTCAACATTCCCTATTGGCAATTTCTTAGCAGGCATTGTGAGAATTCCTTGGATGGCAAATAAGCCTCCATTGTAGATGAGGTATTTAAAATGAGCCTGCTTGAAATGTCCTCCAAACTGTGTCAAAAACCTAAGCTGCAAGAGATAGTGGCCTCTCATTACTGAGCACTAATGTGTCCCAATTGCTGGTTATTAATAAAGGATAAAGCAGATTTATTGTAGGGAGGAATTCTAAGATATTTCTTGTTTTCTATCATCAATTATGGCAGGCCACATACTCTGCTAAATCAAGCTATCAGAATGATTTTGATGGGGTTGTATAAGTCTAGGATGTTGCCAGTTATGCTTTTATCTACTTTTCAGGGAACTTCCTCTTTTCTTCTTGAGAGAATGACAAGCAAAATCAGAGTATTTACTTAAGTTCCAGCAAGTAGATTATTGATAGATAGATATGCAGCAAGTTACTGTTTGCACCAAATCACCTCACTGGTTGCACTATAAAGAAAAATAAAATAAAAAAAAAATCCTTGAAATGTGATAAATCAATAGTAGTACATGGCCCAGTGCAATGATTAGGTAAATTACATACTCAGTTGATAGCCATCAGTTGTCAATACAAACTTGTTTGCATTTTTTGCATTGCTATTTTCTGACACTATGGAAAAATCTGTGTCTAGAATAATGTCTGTCTGTGCTTCAACTTGGATGTTTCCTTAAGAGTGAGAAAGATAGTAAGGCAGATATAATTCAAGTTCTGAACTAGTCTAAGAAATTACATTTTACTGTATTTCACTTCTATCCTTCCTTCAATTTAACATGGACTTTATACTAGAGAATTAAAAGAAAAATGAAACCTGATTGCAGGACATTTCTCATACTGGGCATGGTTGGATTTGTAAGTGTTACATGTTATACTGAGATCCAAAGGCAAAGTTTGAGTTCCTCTGAATTTCTCAAAGCTGAATTTCTTCAGAGTATGGGAAGTTTTTTCATGGAAAATAGTTATGTGTCATTTTCACTGTTATGGTTATGCTGAAACTGTTCAATTCCTGGTATACAGCACTGAATCATATATTCTTTATTCACTAGGAACAATGCTTGCATGTGGTTACAATACAGAAAATGAGACAGACTGTTTATAAGTCAGATTTACTTTAGTCTAAAGTATTTTTTACAGCTTTGAAATAGTAAGTAATCAGCATAATTAACACCAAAAATTCACCATCCCATGAATATACTGATTGTCACAGACCAGTCACTAAAAGACAGCTGGCCTGCTTCATTCCTAGGCTGAGGTCAGTACCATTGTTGGAATTTCATATGTATGCATCTTACTATAGACTGTCTACTCTGCCACACCAGAGACCAAAGACTCAGCAAGGACTGCTTTAGAATAAGCCTTGGGCTTATTTGGGGTAGCAGAACTGGCCTGCTCTGCCCCAAAGTTTCTCCTCTGTGTTCAAAGGCTATACATACAGGAAAATATAAATTTAACTTCTCCAGACTGTATTGTTTGCATCTCTGTTTATGTTTCTCAAACACGTTGGCTAAAGAAGGTAGTGCTGTGAGACAGGTTAAGCATATCTTTGATTTACAAGTGGGGCTTCTCTGGTTGAATGGAAACTGATAACAAACTCATATCATGTAGCACCTGAATTTTGAAAGAAAAATATTTCAAAATAGAAGATATTCCTTGTCTCAGGTGTTACTATAAATAAAAGCTAGTTGTCAATTTAAAATTAAAGTGTATGTTGAGTTTTTAAAGCTAACTCCTGTTTAATGCTAATTCCTCATTTCTTATGGGGAAAGACATCTGTTTCATATAGGAGGCCACTAAATTCTCAATGTGTCTGTAAAGAGATGTATTCACAGAAGTTTCTTCTTGACTGTAAAAAGAAAAACACATACAACCTGAAAATTTCAGGACTGCTCTAAATATTTTTGACTTTAAGAGACACAGAATTTGAGATGTACAAATTTTAGAAATGTGTGCATGCTAGTATTCATTAATTCTGAGATTTGTGGCTGTTAATAGTTTATACTACCATATAATAGTATAATAGTTTATACTAAATCACTATAATATGTGGTATTTTCTTGTCTGCTGCTCTGCTTCATCAGATGTCTTTTATCAACTAGAACCAATGTTTGGAGAATAGCTTCATACTACTAAATACCAAGCCTATGAAAGGGTAACCATGGACAAAAATACATGGTATTTTTGGTATACTAAGTTAATTCACATCAGTTTGCTTTTTTTGTGTTCAAAGAAATCCTTAATTTTCACAAAAGATAATAGGAGTAAAGGCTGTCCAGCATCTTGCTAAATGACTTCTCATATATTTCACTACAAAAATTGTCCAAATATAAAATAACGTGGGCTTGTATAAAATACATTAAAACCACCCTCTTTATCTTAAAGAGAAGCATGGAGTTGTATACAGTATTCCTATAAGAAAAGTACTGATTTCATACTACAGTATTTACTAACAGTAAGGCAGTTCTTAGCCTACAAAACTATTTGCAGCCATTTAAAAGAAAGAAAAAAAAAGTGAACACAAGTTCTTCCCTCGTTTGTTTATTGCTGGCGGTACTAAAGGAGAAATGCAAATGTGCAGAGATAAGAGAGACATGCAACAAGATCTCATGTGGGAGGGATTTCCCCCCAGATCTTTTGCCTCTGCCCACATACCCAAACGGTGCAAATACTTCATGCAGATCAGATCCCAGTGTGTGATCCCCACGTAGCACTCCTGCAGAACTACTTTTTGGTGAAATACGGTGTTACTTCATGCTCATCCCTGTAAATACCTGCAACTGTGGCTGAGAGGCAGCCCTATAGCTCTGCAACATGTATTTCTGTGGAAAATCCAAATTACTCTAGCATATTTTTCCAAATGTTTGGTTTTCTGTTTTCAAGGTCTGCGAAGGCAGTTCATTTTGTGAAACCCAACCCTACTGCACTTGAAAAGAACAGCAAGCACAGAAGGACAACAACTCACCCGTACTCTTAATTGATCTGGTATTTCTACAAGGTGCCACCCTTTTCCACACCTCCTACCTCCTCCTTAAGTGACTCAGCCTCGGAAGGAGAAATCTCTTGACTTTTCAGACAGCTGGATGGGGAAGAACAGTTCAGCTCTCTGTCTGCTTTGATTGTGCCTCCTTTCCAGACTAACTACACTGAGCCACGCCAGGACACGAACTTCTACCATACCTAGGTAAGGATGTCAACTGTTCTGGTTTTATACTGTTCCCTACCATGTAGGGAAACTCCTACTTTTTCAGATAGTCTGTGATTTTTTTAATGTCCAGTTTAGGATGCTATTTCAAAGAATATGATTTTCAAGAAATATGGAGAACTTGACTATGAAAATGAAGCGCTGAAAATTATACAGTTTTGGTGTTCAGATTACTGGGATGTTTCTGACTTCTTCTGTCCATACCATCTTAATGATTTCATTATTTATATTACACTGCTAATTTTATTCTAGCAATTTTATTTTATTTTATTCTATTCTAGTGATAATTCTCTGATGATAAATTCACTGTTCAGACCACTTTTCATGAATGGCTGTTTTATTGTAATTTTTGCTCTTTAGTTCATTTTATTGTTCAGATTTTTTCTTTATTTGGATTTTTTATCTAAAATTAATGACTATTTACTCTTTTATGATTCTTGAATTATCTTTATTATTTTGGGAAAAAAACCCCAAAACAAAACAACAGTTCCCTTTAATTTTTACCTTTGCAAAAATACCCATTCTACTTTAATGCAAGGACTTACCTATACAATGATCAGAACACATGTATAAACAGGAAGGGTTCTTAATCAAAAATCTAGTGAATTGAATGACAGCTGGATAAAGAAAATTAAAATTATCATCCTCTTTTCTACACTCCATTAAAAACAAAAATCTACATTTAAAACTGAATGTGTATTTCTAATTTGAAAATATATACAAATTTGGATTGTGATCTAGTTGATTTTACATTAGTGACAGTTCCACAGCTTCTTTCAAAACAGAATCTCCTCCGCCCACATCTTGAAAAACCAGTTTTGAGAGCTCTTTCAGCTACAAATAGATGAATGATTGCTGACATACATTCACGTGGTCTCTAGTCCTATCTTGCCCATTTTCTTTCTTACAAATACACATGTTATTTCTGTTATTTCTGCACTCTTTTCTGTGCTATTAGTTCTTTGGACAAAACGGTAGAGTAAAATATTTATGTAAACACAATGTATTATTCCCAGAGGTTCACAAATGTATTATATGGCTATTGCTCTCATGATTGCTCTGATGCTCAGGTGTACCTCCTGAAAAAAATTCTGTTTAGGAACACATTTTGTGATTGTTTAATGTCTGTAAAATAAATGTAGTAATTTTTAAATATAGTTTTCATCAAAAGGACAAAAAGACTAACTAATTGCCAAACAAACAGAATCATGTTACTGTTGGCAATTGTGTAGGGAAGAAAATAGAGCATCGGTTATACATATAGATCTGCATCTGACAGAAGGGGCCTTTAAAGCTATTTGAAGAGAATATATTCTTGTCTGTAATAACAAGTTTGGATTTATGAAGGATTGTATAATCTTGAATGTTTCTGGCTGTGATGGTGATTTGCAAAAGAGCCTTTATCTACAATCAGGAAAGTCTTATTTGAGTGTAAGTATAAGTAAGCAGATCTGACAGCCCAGTCACAGCACTGTTATCTGAGGGGAGAAAGAATGGATATGGACAACAGCAAAATTGCTATTGACTTCCAGACCAGAAAGATCATACACTTACAGGTGCATTGCTAGAAGAAAAGCTGCAATTATGTGTGTCCCCAGTGTCTTAGTTATGGCTTGGAAATCTTTATCCTGTATCAAGTCAGAATTACTTAATTCAGTTGCTTGCTCACACTATATTCAAGAGAAATGATGGAGGAAATGATGTTTGCTGACTTGAAAGTTAACTGAAAGCAAGGAAACTCTGTTGTATCTTTCATAACTGTAATTCAGACCAAATGTGATTTTCTTTAAACCATCATATTCTCTACATTCAGCTCACATAAATGAAAGATACACACTATAGATTTAAGAGTTACAAGGGAAAACAAAGGAAAATAAAAAGTAGAGCTGAAGTCTTCAGTTCTTATGGAATGATTCTAGAATTCTGAGCTCTGGTTGCTCACATGATACTGACTGTTCAGCTTAGTTCAGAGCAGAGTAGCTCTTCAAGAAGATCAAATTTTGGTGGCAAGCTTCATATTTGGGATAAAGAAAGAATGAAATATAGGCCAATTTTCTTTTTCACATGGCAAATATTAGATGCTTTCAAAAAGCTGGAACTTGAAGATCATGTAGAAAACAGCAGCCAGCAAGCTGTGGTTTGTGTATACAGAACCTGTTTATTCCAGCTGGTGTTTCATGTGGACATGCCAATCTCAGCAACTTCTCTACAATTGAGGCTGGTTTAGCAATACAGCATGAGAAGTTGGATGACAGGCAAATTCTGAAACACTCCTTTTTTAAAATCAGTTGCTCAGCTACCACTTTTTGTATTACTTAGTTCATTAATAATAGCAGGAAATTTGACATTTCAGGCATTTGAATTTATATTAAAATCCTCAGTATAAAAACAAATATTTTGACTTTTAAGAGAAGAAGGTGTATCTCTCTCAACAGTCCTTCAACATTTACTATGCTGAATTCCTTATTATACAGTGTGATGATAATGCAGAGGCTTCTTGCCTCTAAGCTGTGGAAATTAATATTGATTTATTAGAAGCAAAATGCATATCAACTGACTTCTTATGAATAAGGTCATAATCACTGTCATAGCTAGAAGCCAAAGAGCAAAGATTTTTTTGTTGAAACTAGTTCAGTCTGATGTGGAAAACATGAATCTTACAGGAAATGCTTCTATTATTATGTATTTTTTTTAATACAGCAATGCATATGTGTGAAGCCTAATCACATAGACAGCTACAGCCAAGAGGAGAAGGAAGGCAAAAGGACTCTGTGGTGGAGGAATGGGTGTGGTCAGATCATCTGAAAACTAGAAGGTCTGGCTTTCAGAATTTTAAGGCAGGCCTGAGGTATTCTGCTGATCAGTCACTGCAGGAGATGAAAAGGAGATGTAGAAGTGTAAATACCAGTATTTGTGATAAAAATAGTGTTAAGAGACTTGTGCTGCTTTTGGCGTAACTTCTTGCCAGGTTAGATGGACTTTTACTTTCCCTGAAGCCATGTCTGAAGTTTCTCTGAATTTCTTTGGGATTATGTTTGGATTTCCCATAAAATGTTTGATAGTCTGAATCTAGGACTGGCATGTCTTAAAACCATTTGGGAGCTGCTTACTGGACTGGCCAGGGCAGTTTTAATTTTCATTTAGATTTCCTGACGCTGTTTTTAAATTCAAATTACACTGGAGTTGCATTCCTGTTTGTTTTTGTTTTGCATTCCGGCTGAGTTGTTTTGCTTCTGTGGTTGAGAACTTATTAAAAATGTCTGAACATCATTTACTACTACAGTATAGTACAGAAAGCTATAACTCTGCTTTCTCACAAAAAAAACTTTTTGTTTATCTCCCTATGGTCTGAAGATGAGCTGTTCACTGACCTGTGTGAATAATGTGACAGTTTCAGATCTTTATGAGGTGATATTTTTAAACTAATGTGATCCTCATAATCTCTAGTCCACTCCCCTTTTCAAATACACAGGTACAAACACACACTGAGTTCAAAATAGTGAAGGCCAAAGAAAAAGGCTTTGATGAACTCTATTCTACCTCTTTATGCAAGATTCTTTTCATTTCTAAGCCCTAAAATTTAAATCTTAGCTTGATGATTCTTGATTGTCTGTGCTACAGATTAAAGTAAGATTTTTTTTTAAATTTGCATTTTAAATTTTAATTAATTAATCTTTGATACACAACTTGAAAGCTCAGAAGTAAGAGGAAAGCCTTGAGGACAAAATGGCAGTATTCAGTAGGACTAAAATTCCTGGGTTTAAAATTTCAGACTACCTGGCACATTTTCATGCTGACTGTAAAAGGGAGTGTACCTGTTTCTTAGATTCATTTATGCCTACTGCTTTTGGGTTGGGACACTATACAGCTGTTTATTATAGATGCTGTACACATGTGCAACAGAAATATTGTTTTGCCCTAAAAATATTTAAAAATTAATATAGGATGAGAAAAAACCCAGTATCAATTAAATATTGATGGATGAAAGAAACACACTAAACTTTTATGGATAACAAGAGGAGTTGCAAACCTTTTTATCACTTTTCATTTGGTTTGATTTTCACAAAAGAAGTCTCCTTTTTCAAAGTTTTATAATTAATTTCCCTTAGCAAATGGCTTTCAAAGTACATAATAGAAAATAAATCCAGAATCCTTCTATGCAAGGATTCATCTCTATACTACCTGTGATGAAGAAATTCCAGTTCTCATTGCTTGAAAATATACTGAAATATCAAACTTTCTATTATCCTGGGACTGATTACATCAGATATCCAGCTGTACCTAGGCTGGAAAAGTAAATCAGAGACCTCTCTATCATCTTGGGACAGTTCAGGAAAATTTATAGTGAAAGCGGGAACTAAAAAAACTGATTTCTTGATAACCTACCTGAACAGTTTCCAGGCAACTCGGTTCACGTATGCTCAAAACCTTACATAAATATTTTTTAAAGGGATTTTATAACCTATTGCAAAATAAATAAGCCTCACCATAGCCCTGGGCATATTTTTATTGTGTGGGAACCAGATCCAGCAGTCACATGCTTTTTACACACACTGTGCCAATGGTTGCTTGATAGCAACAACTAAGGTTAAAAAAATGGAATGCACCTAGGAACCTTCCAAAATGCCAGAATTTTAAACTCTTAAGAAATATTTGGAATTTCACAACTGGTTAAGATACATGCAGACTTCGGACTCCAGTATTAGTTTTGTGTTTATATCTTTACTTTCTAGAAGAATCTCTAGTTGTTGAATACTTCTTTTTGTTTGTTTGTTTATGTTGGGATATTTTTTGGGAGGCTAT